CACATCCATCGTAACATCCGCATCTCCGCCGCATGCAGACGACGCACATGAGTCTTCTTAACCGCCCAACACTCTGCCCCGTATAACATAGCAGGTCTGACTACGGATCGGTAGAACTTACCTTTCATCCTGGGTGAAATCTTCGGGTCACACAACACCCCTGAGGCCAACCGCCATTTGGCCCAAGCCACTCCAACACGATGTCCAACATCCCCGTCTAACTCCCCATCCGCCTGGATTACCGAGCCAAGATATCGGAACCTGTCTACCTTAGGTACTACGTGAGAGTCAATCCTAACTTCCACTTCTGATTCTGTTTCCCGGCCGCTGAAACGACATTCCATGTATTCAGTCTTGTTCCTACTTATTCTGAATCCTTTAGTCTCAAGGGCAAGGCGCCATCGTTCCAACTTATCGTTTAGTCCCTCACGTGTGTCGTCGATAAGCACGATATCATCCGCGAAAAGCATGCACCATGGGACCCCTTCTTGAACACCTTGAGTTAGGACGTCCATCACCAAGGCGAACAAAAAAGGGCTAAGGACAGACCACTGGTGCAACCCCATCCCTACTGAGAATGACTCAGAAGATAGTATCAATTAATATTCCAATAGAAAAACTTGAACCATATCAAAGCATTACATTCTTTTCGACAAAAGAATTTGCCTAATGATTAATCATCTCTATGCTCAATTCTTACACAAAGTAGAATAACTGAATTAACTATTTTATTGATAAACACTTCGCAGTGAAATGTTAGAATATATGGACGATAGAACTTTTTTTCTGAAAATGAAAATAGAACTACAATACTGTGTAAATGATTTTGATAAAGAAAGTATGGAGAATAAATTAAACAGTAGATAAGACTTACTATTAGCACAATAATGACATCTCCTCAAATCTTATACACAGCCAAACTTATAGCATAATAACTACTGTTGTATAAGAATTGATGAAAATATATGAATTTATATTTTGATTACAACATTTTTGGATAAGGCCTTGTTGTTGCTCTCTTGAGTTGTCTGTTGAGTTCACACCAACAATATTGATTGGCATTACAACATTTTTGGTTACAAATATAAGGGGTCAAAGAGATCCAGTTGTTAGGGTATTATACTTGAGTGAAACATAAATGTGAAGTTTTTTAAAAAAATCGGGAAAAAATTTCAACTGCAAATAAAAAAATATTCGAATAAAGATAGTCGATCGAATATGAATATGAACATGAATACCCTCTAGTAATCGAATTCAATAGAATGTCTAGGCATTCGATTAGTTTACAACCTTAATCTTTACAATTTATGTCTGCAGTAGCATCTAAAGACATCAAACGCATACCTCTCTCTGGGTGATGAGCTGACTAGCATTATACTGAGCAACCACGGCCTTCAAGGTTTCATGAATGATTGAAGGCAACACTCTTTCATTGTAGTCCGTACCTAGTTCCCGATATATAGTCGGTAACTGGTCTGGTACAGGACGTGTCAGCACACGAAGACTTATTTTAACCTATGCAATAGTTGATGAGAGGAAAGAATGAAGAATTTATGTAGCTATATAAGACAACAAGACAAGGAAATGAAGAAATGAGAAAAGGTTCAAAATAAATCCCAATGGAGTAAATTTTGACATTAGAGTAATTCAGCAGGAAAAGATGGGCTTCCAAGACAACTCGATATTGTATTCGTGCTTAAAATGCAATGCAATTTACATTTTCTAAACAAATAAATCGAGATCAATAACAAAATAGAATTGGGAGAGAATCTTTAAGACATGGAGGCATACCATCTGAAGGTCACGACTTCCTGATGTGCTTTCCACTAAATTGGGCTTTGCACGTACATCATAAATGATTGGTCTTTCAACCCATGGAATCATAAGGTGTGTTCCTTCAGGATAGACCTATTAATATATAAACATCCCAATTTATGTCAGAATAGTATCCATCAACAAAACAAGACGGGCTAATCAGATGAAATTTAAGCTAAGGAAAGCATAGTACATCAAATCGGGATGCAGTAACAGACAAATAGATAATTGTAACACAGTCCATTCACTTTTAGAGACTCACAATATGACCCTTTTTCATTTTTAGTACTCCATAAGAACAATTACACTTTTAAAAAGCTCATATTTGGACCATTTCCCAAATTAGTTCAAACTATCGAACCAAAAGAGAAATATGCATCTGAACAAAACAAAGGTCTTCTGTTTTGATGCACGTTTTTGGGAGCAGGAACCTATCAGAAATCTTGATGAAGGCTAATACAGTAACACAGACATACTCTGACTCTTAATGTTATTTACAATGTCTTTGCCTAAACAGATAATAATCCAAAGGCCATACAACTATTATGTCAAGGATAACATGTTAACTCTCTTGGTACGCAAACTAAATACACGATCAGGGTTTTAAGAAGTGTTATTCATAACAATGTAAAAGACACCATTGTACAATAATCACAAGAAAAAAACTTTGTCCATCCCAAAATGATATGATCGCAAAATATCATTGAAAAAAACATCTCAAGCCTTGCCAGCCAAAATGAACTATAATGAAGCAGATAGTAAGTGCCGCTCAAGAGGAAAATCCAACATTCATGGTAAATTTTTCCTAGGGATTGAATCATGTAACAAAAATCAGACTCACCGACACAAGCAAAGACAGGAAAATACCTTTTCTTTAATTCCATTGATACGGTTGAAGACAATGGCACGATGCCCCCCATCAACATTATAGAGACTGTTGGAAGCTGCATACATAACGATCCCACCAACAGAAGCCAACTTGTTAAAAATAGAAGCGTCAGGCATTTTAGGAACCTTAGCATTTTTGAAGCCCATTTTCTGATTCCCTGAAAGAAAACCAGAATGTGGGGTAACAAACAGTGTTCATCAATGAAATGTGCACTGTATTTCACATCAGAAACATCACAATAGATGCACTCCATGTTTCCAATACCCGAGTAAGGCAGAGCATATATGTCCATTGACTGGACATAGACACAAGATTTTCAAAAACAATAACAACAACGGTTTGAGACATCGAGATAAGTGACCAATCCTTAGATTCTTATAGTCTATAGAGTACTTCGTTCAGTTAATTAACCCCAATCACCATATATCTGCAAGAGATAATAGCAATTTTCACTCGCATCGTCTTTATATAATGTAACATCTTAAGTCTGCGCTTGGATGACCAACAACATTCAATACAACTGAAAATCAGCGCACAGGCATTGAAGAAATCTTCACATCTCAGCTAAAAAACTGGCACAAATCAGAAAAAAATCAAGGGAAAAGTAGACATTAAGGAAAATTTGCGTTGCCTTGATCAAATCGAGCAAAACTCAGATAAAAAAACACTTATAGACGTGCACAAGCAAGAGCATGAAATGAAAATATATGCAACGGAATGTGTATATACATACACACATTTCAGAAAATCCAATTTAGACGGAAAAAAAAAGAGGATTATGATGATCGGCGAGAAAACCTGGTTTGCAACGGATGACGATTCCGATCAAATGAGTCAGGGAAAGAGGTGTTTTGGGGCAAATCGGGGTTTATGGCTTGTAGCAAGGGTTTAACACTTTAACACGAGATTTTAAAAAATTCATAGCCAATCTCTCTCTACACGTTTTCTATCCTTCACATTTTTTTTTGTCTATTTTTCCTTTTTGAGTCACAACAATTTAGGGGTGTGCATCGGTCCGAACTCAGACTGGACCGGCTCGGACCAAGACCATATAAGACACTTTTCTTAGATCGGAGACCAATCCGAATAAGATAAGGACTGGCTCGAGACCGGACTAGACCAGGACAGGACTAAGTTAGGCTGATTTTTTATTTTTTGAAAATCAATCTTATCTATTTAATTTAAAATATCCACTTGTAAAAAAAGTATTACTATTACTAATTTGTAATGTGTAGCACACACTAAACATTATCAATCACCATTATTTAAAAATTAAATTTCTTTAACATAGTACCACTACTACTACCTCCGTCACATTTTAAATTGTCTGTTTACCTTTTTTCTCCGTCCCAAAATAAGTTGTCTGTTAGTTGTTTTCGTAAACTTTCAAGAGTAAAATACCTAAACTACCTCTAAAATAAGTCACTCTTTTCCACCTTATCTCCTCATTCATCGTCATCCATCCTAAAAAGTACCGACAATTTCGAAAAATCAACTCTATTTTTTCTTTTCCTTAAATATGCCCAAAAGTCAAAACAGGCGATTTAAAACGGGACGGAGGGAGTAGTATTAAAACATGCATGTCGTTTAAAATATAATCCAAAGAATCAACAATAATACTACCAGAGTTCTCCGTACAACACTGAGGACAAAGATGCTTCATATACTATTTAAATAAAAACATGCAATTTCAACACCTTTCATTTTTTCTATCATTCTTGAACTCTTTGTTGTTTATCTAACTTTTTACTATTCCTTCTAATTTCTTTTAGTGTTTTCTAATTCTTTCTATTTTTTTTCCCACATTCAATTCTACTTTTCTACTCTGTAGCTCAAAAGAACATACTACTCTTTGGTTCAAAAAAGAATTATACTAATCCCTATTTATAACTTAATAATGAAACTTTGTGGGTTTTTGTACATTTTGATTAATTATTTGATAAAATAAAATATTTTTATCACATCTTGTTTTGTATTTGGAGTAAAAATGTTGACATACTTTTTAAGAATGTAAGTTTTATTTTTTAATTTGTACACCAATATTTAAATAAAATGAATTTTAAAACAACTTAAATTTTATTTTGTTTTGCATAAAGTAAAAAACATGTTGGGACCGAGGTAGTATTGATGTAGTAATTACTCCTTCCGTCCCGATAATCATATTAATTTTTCTGTGTTTTCATTGATTTTATCACCCGTATTTTGTAAACCCTTCAATATAGTTTTACATATGCAAATTTTATTTTTTTAATTTTCAAACTAATATTTAAGTGAAATGAAATGAAAAAAAAACATTAAATTTTGCTCCATATTGCAGTGTTTCTTGAAAATAGTAATTTCGACAAAACACTTGTGAGTAATTTTCTGCAACTCCACTTCAAAGTTACTCACTCTACTCCATTCATGTCCGTATTTAATTTTAACCTAGCAATTATGCAATTGCGCATTACATATTTCAACAATTATCATTAATTAATTAATAAAAAAATTAGATGAAGATTCTCAACAATTATCACTTCGAAGGGATAATAACAAATTTACTAACGTTGGGACATTTTTGAACCTTTTTTTCCTAGAATAAAGAATAGTAACAGGGGCAGTGTACGAAGTACAAACTCCAACTCCAGTGGCTGGTCACTTTTAATTTTAGAACATAAGAAGACAAGAATTAGAAGCAAATACAGAACAATATATGAAAACTGCTAAAATGATGAGAACTGGCATTGCTTGGATTGTGTTGTCTTTGCTCTCTCTATCTAAGAAGAGCAACAACCAAGCTTCTTTACTGCAGAAACATCGTCCTTGCCACCAACGTTAATGGTCTGTCCTTTGGGCAAAGCGGCCACATCATTCCCGGCATCCAGAGCTTTCCTGCTGACAACATGGTGTATCTGTGTGAGAACCTCTGTGAAGGCGTTCTCAACATTCATTGACTCCAATGCAGAGGTCTCCATGAAAAAGGTTCCCTCTTTTTCGGCGAACCTTTTCGCGTCCTCTGTGGAGACGGCTCTCAGGTGGCGCAGGTCGGATTTGTTCCCCACGAGCATGATGACGATGCTGGAATCCGTGTGGTCGCAGAGCTCCTTCAGCCACCTCTCCACATTCTCAAATGTGACGTGTCGTGTGACATCATAGACTAGCAATGCACCAACCGCTCCTCGGTAGTAGGCACTCGTGATTGCACGGTATCTTCAGCAAAATTTAAAAATGGAACATCACGTGTCATATATCGGCATTTTTACTAGTGAATGATAAGAATAAAAGGCCAAAATGTTGTTTAATTGTGATTACGCGCAGTCTCAGAAATTCAATTGCATTGAGGAAGAAGCGACATTCACCATTTCACCCTAGTGTGAAACCTAGATAGATATGATGCACAACAAAAGTAGGAAATGAGAAGTCGAAAGTAGTTATTATACCATAGAGGTGAGGTTAACTACACATCTCTAAACCTGGGAGAGTAAAAGACTTTCTTGGCCTACTATATGTACAAAAAGGATCTAGGATTAACATCTTAAAACTTTTACTCTCTTTGTCTCCAAATTAGCTCTTCACTTTCCTTCTCTGTCCATCTCAAAATGTCCAATTCTTTTCATGTAAATAATTGTGTTGTTGAGAAGCAAACTTGGGCACGGAGGGAGTAAAAAAATATTGTTGAAGAAAATTGTGGTAACACTCTCAAAACATCGGGAGTGTTCTTGAGAGTTTTCATTTCTTTAACAAAAAAGAAACTTTAGAAAATAAGAAAAAAATGACACATAGAAATCTCCATATTATTCAGGTTAATGTAACACCTACTCCCATTTGTCTCACAAAAAACTTAAACATTTCCTTTTTCATTCGTCTAATGTCACCTACTTCTCTCTCTCAACAAATGTACATAACAAAATAAACCATCAAACCTATCTGCAATGAGCCTTATAGGACTAATGCCAATACATAATTAAAGTAGAACATGACAACATTCAACCTCAAAACTGAAAATGTTGTGGCTCTGTTGTCAATGTAGCTAGACCTTTTTAGAAGAAAATGACTTCCCAGAGTTCCCACTCATGTTCAGATGTGAGATCTACCTGAGTTTCAAATCAAAACCCTTTCAATCAAATGCTATCAGTCACAATACTATCCAAACAGATTGAACCAAACCAGATCTATTGTTTTCATATCTCAATGTCACCAACCTAAGACTAAGAGCAAAACTATAGCATATTCCAGAAATCCTCCAATATAATGCACAAACCACAATCGATTTTACAAGCAACTGAGTGGAAAATTGAGGACATGAAATAGGAATGTGTATACGCAGAAAGAGTGATAGATGAGGAGGGGAAAAGTTACCGCTCTTGGCCAGCGGTGTCCCAAATCTGGGCCTTAACGACCTTGTCGTCGACGCGGATGCTGCGAGTGGCGAACTCGACGCCGATGGTGGACTTGGACTCGAGGCTGAACTCGTTGCGAGTGAATCTGGAGAGGAGATTGGATTTTCCGACGCCGGAGTCGCCAATCAGCACCACCTTGAACAAGTAGTCGTAATCGTCGTCCGCTCGGTACGCCCCCATTCTTCGCCTCTGCTGTGCTAGATTCCTTTCTACTACCAGGAATCTCTCTCTCTCTCTCTCTATGTATATGCAGAGAAAGAGAGATTGATGAATGGCTATGGAGGAAGATGATGATGATGATGATGGTGTGAATGGGGCGCTGAGTTTTGAAGGAGCTGGGAGATCTACTCAAAATCACTCCTAGTTCCTTGCTTTAAATTTTCCCTTTTTCTCTCTAATTATTTTCTGAATTTATCCCATAAGTATCATTATCCTACGTTGTCAATCATTTTATGGAACAAAATTTGAGTTTGATGTTCCATTTCAAATTTCAAACATGTCATCAAAAATAGGCTACTCCTTGTTTAACATTTTAAGTGAATGAAATTATTACTCCGTAACAGATAATTACTCTTAAATACTTTCGATTTTCTGATATGACTTTCATGTTCCATATTATCTGAAATATACTCTAGAGTACATTCAATTTTTTGATAAGAATTTTCAAGTCACACATTATGTGAAATAAACTTCGCGATCCTGAATATAAATCAAAATTTAAGGTCTGTTTGGTTGGGAGGAAAATATTTTTTCTGATTTTCTTTTTTCTTGCTTGCAATATAAAGCGAAAATGATATCTGTCTAGTTTCGAACAAAAATTGCTACTCACTCTCCGTCCTCGCCCCATCCACTACTATTGCCCCCCGTCACCCCCAAGCTTTGCCTCCGCAACCCCATTTCCCATCCCTACCACTTGCCATCACTACCCCTTGCCCTCTCTTACCCAGCCCATTCTCATTCACCTCTATTGCGTCATCCCTATCCTTTGCCCTCTCCTACCTTGTTACCTTGTATTCAATTCACGCCAATCTACATGTGCACATCTCCCCCCGCCTCACCCACCACAGCCCCTTACCTCCATCCTATTCTGTTCAACTGCACTGCCTGCACGAAGAGACAATATCTCAGCCGCACGACTCTTTCCACCGAATCTCCTTCAGCACGGGTCGGGACCAAACTCTGATATCAGTTTATTATGACAGACACGAGAAAGTACGAACAGGAACAATCGACAATGCTGGTTTACTAACAACGTGTTAGTAGCCTCCACAGACACAAGAGAAAAAATATTATTGATCAGTATTTTCTCACCAGATTACAGATTCTCTCTACCATGAATTGAGAAGTACAAATACAAGTTGATATATATATGGAAGAGATATGGGTAATCATAATCCTACTACATATATAAAGATGAGAATATGAAAGATAATCATAATCAATGATAATCTTATCGCTAGTCGTATTCCTGATAAGT